TAGGATAAGGGTGACAAACGAGCACACAGTCCACCTGATGGTAAGTGGTTGCTGCGGCCCATAGACATCTACATCTATCCTTTGTTACAAATCAAAATGTAGATGCGTTGTCACCCGTGAGGACTAAGATGGAATGCCTCATTTCCAGTAAAAAGGGCCTCCGGCCACCTGCACTCATCAAGCGAAACTCAGAGGTAAACCTAGAGGTTACCTTCACGCTGGTTTTCTGTGAGGTCGTGGTACTACCCCGGTTTGAGCCGGCCCATCCGTGCGACAGCAAAAGCTGCCGCGTGGCTCTACCACTGGTAATAAAGCGACGAAATATTATTCCATCAGGCCACAGATTACAATCCATAAATATAGTTAGTTTATGTTTAGGAACAAGTACCTTGTAAGAACTATAATCCTTTGTCTGCTTAGACTTTATTTTTTGTAACTTCACTGTTATGTTGGTTTTACTTTTTATGTACGATATAATGTCACTCTCACATGTAATTGCAAAATGCAAAGTTATGCTAAAAGGATCTAACCCACAAAAGGCTACTTTTGAAATATTGACATTTCAAGTCTTATAGTTTTTTAGTTTCGAGGATTTTTTTTTATATAGGATAGAGTTACAAACGAGCACACAGTCCACTTGATGGTAAGTGGTTGCTGTGACCCATAGACATCTGCATCTATCCTCGTTTGCGAATCAAAATGCAGATGCGTTGTCACCCGTGAGGACTACGATGGAATGCCTCGTTTCCAGTAAAAAGGGTCTCCGGTTCTCTACACTCACCATACGAAACACAGCAGTGTTAAGCTGCTATTTTACGCTGGTATTCTGTGAGAGCGTGGTCCTTCCGCTGCAGCATGGCTCTACCACGTGCAGATTACCACGAAACTAAAAAAACATTCCTTTTTTTTAATTAAGAATCATACACTAGCGTTAAGTGATAATGATTCCCTTTCTATCTATTGCATTGGATATTTTTTTTAAATCGTTACCTGCACGCAAGTATCTTCTCCTGTATCGTGTGTGCAGTTTACATACATTTTACGAGAACAAACATTCAGACCCCGTACAATTATTTGTAAGCCATACAAATACTTGTTCCGTATGATTCGAACCCGCGACCCTTAGAGCTGCAACTCATTAGTAAGCCACTTCGCCACAGAGCCGTCAAATTACACGTATCTTCTTATTTATTATTTTTTAATTTAATTTTTATGATTTACAAGTTCCATTCGCGTACAACTCACACTTTTATAATCCAAGAAAGGCCCGGCCACACGCCGAATCTAACTTGCACAAATTCTAATTTGCACAAGCAAGCAAGTAGGTACTTTAAGTTGGCAAAACTGTTTACCGTGCAAATGGCTTGCACAAAATGCTTAGTATGCATAAACTAAAATTGCACAAGCGAGCATATACGTTAAGACTGCGTGTGGACGCCACACATGTTCTTTGCGAAAACTGTGTACAAACTGTTTGTGCATTCAAGTTGTTGCGTGCAGCTGGCCAAGAGAGTCTAAAGTCGAAGTCGAGGACATGTGTAATCTGCCATCACGCATACAGCACGGTGGACACTTCCAAATAAGAGAAGATCTTTTCTCAGTCGTTGACGCATGAAAGCAGAATTTTCTTTTACTGCACTAAATAGTGTTGGTGTCACAATTATTATATTACCTGTTCCCCGTGACTTCGCCCGCGTGGAATTTTTTTGCGCGTAACTCTAAAACAAAAGTAACCTAAGTTACTCCATATAACAGCAGCTATGCCAGTGAATATCCCATCCAAATAGGTTCGCAGGTTTTTGCTTGATGCGTGTTCAGACAGACGTCGTGTTTAGAATTTTATTATAATATAGATATAGCTGCGAGCCGTGGTAGCTCAGACGGTTAGCGCTAGCTGTAAGTTTCACAATACGCGAGCAACCCGGGTTCGATAACTACCGGCACCAATGAAATTGTTAATTGCAATTTTAAGTGCCGACTTACCACGTGCTCGGCGGTGAAGGAAAACATCGTGAGGAAACCTGCATGACAAATAAGAAAAAACATTTCGATGACATGTGAAGTTCGCCAACACGCATTGGGGCATCGTGGCGGACATTTCCTTGTCTTAAAATCCTCTCAGAAATAAGAGGAGGCCTGTGCCCAGCAGTGGGACGTATATAGGCTGTAACTTTAAATTAAATGTAGTATATATCTATCTCTTTAATTTTTATATTGTGACACTGCTTATTTGCCAAAATAAATAAAAATAATACTATCTTTAAACTGTATACTGGAGGACTTGAGTTACAAAATTTTTAAATGATTAATTTTTTCTTAGAAAATATTACTATCTTGTGACCTACGAGAGTTTGTATATTGCTTGAAAATAGTCTATTCAGAGCTCATTGAAAGGCACAGGATATATAATAGTAGAACGTATAGAAATGCCACTCACCCCCTACCGCCGCTGCGATTTACCTCACACCGCCCGATTTTCAATAGACACTTTATTTGCTCGCAGCGGAGGGACATACCTATAATGTCGCTCACAAATACAACGGCCCCGTTAACGTACACGAACCTATGCATGTGGGCTTAGCAGGTAAAAACTTTTCGTTTGTTTCATACATTTTTTCGAGAGTGGCCAGGGTGTGACTGCAAGTTCATTATCATCTTGATACCATAGAAGTTCACTGCTGGAGTGTTCTCTCAAGTTGTATAGAGGGTTAGCCACAATTGCTACGCTTATCAGGCAGACTTGACGATCGCTACACCAGACGTATCACACCTTGATCCTATAGCTCGCAGCCTCAAGTTAGTGGTAGGGCCATGCTGCAGCTTTATTAATAGTGTTACGAGCTTGGGGTTCGAGACAATTAAAAACTGCCGATTGAATTACCAAAATTGACACTTTAATTACACAACACTAATTACAATCTAAAACCACACTAATAATAAAACACAATCACTTTAGTTCGCAGTTATTTCGCTTCGAAGTATTCTCTTGTATAGCCAATTCAATACTGCCTTGGTCGTAGTCTATACCGACCTTATATAGGGCCTCAGAGAGTTTCCAGAAACTTCTACTGTAGCGACATCTAGAATGTTCGAGTACATATCAGTCCCGATATTTCTGGAAGGATCTTGACTCTCCTAGTTCTGCTACCCGACACTAGAGGGCGCTAGTGTAACTAGTGTTGCCATGTACAAGACATTAATAGTGGCGTGGTAACAGTAAAGTTGTAGCACGAATGGGTCGGCTCGGCCGGGGAAGGACTACGCTCTCACAGAATACCAGCGTAAAATAGCAGCTTAATGCTGCTGTGTTTCGTATGGTGAGTGTAGAGAACCGGAGACCCGTTTTACTGGAAAAGAGGCATTCTATCTTAATCCTCACTACTGACAACGCATCTGCATTTTAATTAGTTAACAAAAATAGATGTAGATAATGATTTTTTATATTTATGCGAAGAGTACACATTAAATGAAACTAATCTTTACGGATTTTATCGCGTTTAATTTAAATTTTTAATTTCCGACGTTTCGCATGCTTTACAGCACCCGTGGTCACGGAGAGGGGGACTGACGTCCCAGACGAGGTGTTTGACATCCTGATGTCATAGTTTAACCCAGCTACCTTCAGTTTTTTGAATATTAATTTTTGGTCCGATCTACGCAGAATGAGCTTACAGTATCTTAAAGTTTTGCAATGGTATGCTTGGGTTTGGACTTAATATTATTAATTATAGGATCCCAAGCAGATGGCAGCACCCATCCATCTTCTCTATTGAAATTAGGATGTTTTTTAATTTCAATAGCCTCGCGAATTATCCTTGGTAGGAATCGGTGTTCTTTTGCGAGGATTTGTGGTTTATCAAATCTAATGTAATCGATCTAGAACATGCACACACTGCAGACTTCCCGAACGTCGGTGGTTCAAGTTAGCTATATGTTCTTTCACGCGGGTTTTAATAGATCTTTCTGTTGATCCTATGTAAGAAAGACCACATTCACAATCCAGCTTGTACACTCCTGCATCTTGTAGAGGGATATGACACTTGACGGATCGTAAAAATTAACTAATCTTCTTCGGCGGCTTGAAGTATGTTTTAATGGAAGCTCGCTTCAAGATGTAGCCAACCTTGTCTCTGTGACTCCTGTGACATAGGGTAGTACAGCAGGCACTCCCTCGACTGCGGCCGGCTTCACTCGGTCACTGTGACGTAGGCGCGGGACCCGAAGCTTGTTGTCTTGCAATACTTGCTCGACGTGCTAAAGCTCGGCGGCCAGATGTTTTCTGTCACAGATCCCTCATGGTCTCTGAAACGAAGATTTTCCCACGGTAGCTAACTGTGATGGATGATGGTGCGATTCACCATTTAAATTAGAGTACATTTACCACATATTTACTACGAATTAAAATGTAGATACCTGTGAAGACTAAGGTGGAATACCTCGTTTCCAGTAAAAAGTGTCTCCGGTTCTGTGAGAGCGTGGTCCTTCCCCGGTCCAGCCGACCCGTTCTTGCTACAACTATACCAGTAATATAGCTGCAGCATGGCTCTACCACGTAAATTTTTTATGTGTATTATTCGTGTATATGTAAGAAATCTGCCTCAAGTATCTGCCGTTGGTGTAGCGGTAGTAAACGTGACTTATGAAAATGAGGTTTCGGGCTTGAATCCCGGGTCAGGCTAAAAACACAGTTATCGAGTTTTCTGTCAAGAAATTCTTAGTAGCTGCCCGGTAAGAGGAAATTGGCGGTGTTTTACCCCCGTGCCTCGGAAAGCACATAAAGCCGTTGATTCCGCGCCTGATCTCTGTCCGTCGTTTTACCGTCCCATCGGACTATGAGAGTGAGGGAACAGAGAGTGCACCTGTACTTGCGCATACACTGTCCAGCGAGGCTGGTAGCTGTGACTAAAATTCGGAGCACGTTATAACAAATCATTATATTTTCTTGTTTGTTCGCAGATCGTGTGTGCAGTGCGCGTTTGCTTCGGTGATGACGTGACAATATGTGGAGCGAGTGGCGTTGGCTTGTGGTCACACTGAACGCCGTCGCCGCGCTGTCGCCGGTCATTAAAATTGGTAAATCACGATATGATACTCGTTCTTCATAGGCATGGGTTCACGCTTTCATTGCAGAGGCGATATTTTCCATAGTTGTAATGTTACTGTTGATTTAAAAATTTCACCTCTCAGTGGGTCATGTGCTCCTGGTAGGTTATCTTCTATACATTCATCCGTTACAGCTTATTAAAGTCCACTACTGAACATAAGCCCCCCCCCCCCCCCCATAGCTTGAGTCGTAGAGGCGATATTTGCGATAGTTGTAATGTTACTGTTAATTTGAAAATTTCTCCTCTCAGTGGGTCATGTGCTCCTGGTAGATTATCTTCTATATATCCATCCATTACAGCTTATTAAAGTCCACTGTTGATCATACACACAAGCCCCTCCCCCCTCAAAGGTTTTCACTTAGGGGAATTTTGCCATAGTTGCCACGCTTGGCAGGTAGTTTTTTATAGGATGAGTTTCACAAGCGAGCACACAGTCCACCTGATGGTAAGTGGTTACTGTGGCCTATAGACATCTACATCTATCCTCGTTTGCGAATCAAAATGCAAATGCGTTTTCAGCCGTTAGGATTAAGATGGAATGCCTCTTTTTCAGTAAAAAGGGTATCCGGTTCTCTACACTCACCATACGAAACACAGCAGTGTTATGGTGCTATTACACGCTAGTATTCTGTGAGAGCATAGTTCTGCCCCGGTCGAGCCGACCCATTATTACAACTTATACAATTAATATAGCTGCAGCATGGCTCTACCACATATAAATTTGGCACGTACAAGGCAAGTATAAAGGTTGGCAACCGCAGTTTTTTTTAAATAATTTTAGGTTGTTATCAGGAAGATGCTGCTGCCCACATCCTGATTTAGTTTCCTTCTGTCGCCTCTTGCGACACCCACGGGATTTTATAAAAGAGTAGGCGCTTATCTTGAAGGTCCCTAAGTCGTATAAGTCTGGAAAATCGCTGGTGGTAGTCGATTCCACAAGCAAGTTGTGGGAGGAAGAAAACTTTTGATCGATCGCAAAGTAATTGATCGCCTATCATCCGGATGGTACGGATAGAAGAGATATATATCAAGCGGGGAGATCTGTTTATGACTTTGCCTTGGCATATGGTCTGACACAACTGGTTACATCGCCTACGCGGATTCCAGATGTTGAGGATCATACACCATCAACGTAGGACCTTCTGCTGACCTCTCACCCGGACGGATATCAGGTTTCCGTCGATGCCCCTCTTGGCTCTTCGGACCATTGTCTGATGAGTGTGGTGCCACTCACGCTCCCCTCGCGGTTGCGTTCTGCAGGTTGCCGCCGTGTTTGGCATTACAGGTCGGCGGATTAGGACGGAATGCGGCCTTTCTTTGCTTCCTACCCATGGGAGCGGGTTTGCTTCTCGCCGGATGATCCCAGCGCTGTTGCTGACTCTGTTACTGATGTGGTGCTACAGGGAATGGAACTTTTATTCCATAGTCTGTGGTACCCATCGGAGGCCGATCTCAGCCTTGGTTCGGTCACTCCTGTAAGACTGCATTACGCAGTAAGCAGGAGTGTTATCAAGCATGGGCTGCGGCTTCGGCGACTAGGGATATAAATACCAGCATAGTTAAAAAGAAGTATAACTTCGCCTCCAGGTCCTTCAAAAGAGTTATTGCCAAGGCAAAGTCAGAGCACATAGGCAGAATTGGCGAGAAACTAGTTCGCCTTCCTTCGGGAACCCGTGCATTCTAGTCTCTCGCCAAGGCTGTCCAAGGGAATTTCTGTAAGCCATCACTACCATCTCTGCACAGGGAGGACGACTCACTGGCCCACGCCGCAAAAGAGAAAGCCGACCTTTTAGGCTCCCTCTTTGCGTCCAACTCGACTCTTGATGACGGGGGGAACACACCGCCGACCATCCCGCGGTGTGAGTGCTCCATGCCAGATGTGCGGTTCTCACAGCGCTCGGTTCGCAGAGCACTCCTCTCCCTGGACATCTACAAGTCGAGTGGGCCTGACGGAATCCCCCCAATTGTGCTGCGGACGTGTGCTCCGGAGTTGGCACCGGTTCTAACGCGTCTTTTCTGGTACTTCTACTCTCTAGGCGTAGTCCCAAAATCATGGAAGACAGCTTTTGTCCACCCGATCCCTAAAAGGCGACCGCTCAGACCCATCCAACTATTGGCCTATCGCCATCACCCTCTTGTTCTCCAAAATAATGGAATCCGTTATAAACTGCCACCTCATGCGGTACATTGAGGATCACCAGCTGATTAGTGACCGCCAATACGGTTTTCGTCGGGGTCGATCAGCTGGTGATCTTCTGGTCTACTTAACTCATACATGGGCGGAGGCAGTAGAGTCCAAGGGGAAGGCATTGGCCGTTAGTTTGGACAAAGGCCTTCGCCTCCGATCGGGTTTGGCACAAAGCGCTTCTTTCGAAGCTCCCTTCCTATGGGCTTCCCGAGAAATTGTGCGATTGGATCACCAGCTTCCTTGCAGATCGGAGCATCAAGGTCGTTGTAGACGGTGCATGCTCCGACTACAAGCCCATTAACGCTGGTGTTCCACAAGGCTGCGTGCTATCACCAACGCTGTTTCTTCTGCATATCAATGATATGTTGCGAACCGGTAGCATTCATTGCCATGCAGATGACATTACTGGTGATGCTCTATGCACCGGCCGTGCCAATATTTCTCGGAAAAACGTCGCCGAGTACCGGAACAAACTTGTGTCTGAAGTCGAGTCTTTGCTGGACAAAGTCTCGGATTAGGGGCGACTAAATCTAGTCCAGTTTAATCCTCAGAAGACACAAGTTTGCGCGTTTACCGCTAAAAAGAACCCCTTTGTCGTATATCCTCAGTTTCAAGGTACTCCCCTTGTTGCTTCAGCTAGTATCGGAATCCTCGGCGTCGACATATTGAGTGACGTGCAGTTTCGTGGTCACTTGGAAGAGAAGGCCAAATTGGTGTCTAAAAAGCTTGGCGTGCTCAGCAGAGCGATACAGTATTTCATGCCGGCACAACGCCTGCAACTTTACAAGGCGCAGGTTTGGCCTCACATGGAATACTGTTCCTATCTCTGGGCTGGGGCTCCCCAGTGCCAGCTCCTTCCACTTGACCGCATCCATCGCAGAGCGGCTCGAATCGTCGACGACCGAGTCCTTTCCGATCGGCTCGACTCATTGGAGCATTTTCTTTCGCATTTACCACGGGCAGCGCTCTGAGTAATTGTTCGGATTAATCCCAGCCGCCATATTTCACGAACGCACATCGCGGCAGAACTCCCGATACCATCCACACCATCTGGATGATTGTCGGTCCACCACTGTACGATTTAGAAGATGTTTTCTTCCTCGCACAACTTCCTTGTGGAATAGTTTACCACCAGCGATTTTTCCGGCCCGATACGACTTATGGACCTTCAAGAAAAAAGCCTACTCCTTTTTAAAAGGCCAGCAACGCATCTGCAATTCCCCTGATGTTGGATTTGTTCATGGGCGGCGGTAGTCACTTACCATCAGGCGAGCCGCATGCTCGTTTGCCCCCTCTCCTATAAAAAAAAATGCCACATAAATTCATCCCATCCAGGTAAAGCCAGTGCAACACGCTAGTTGAAAATAAAAACAACAATCTATATTCAAGTATAATATGATATTATTAAGTTTATCTACATACGATATTTTTGCTGGAATATCTTTTTAAGAGGTTAATTTACCATTTACAGTTAAATGGTAAATTCGAGAACTTTTTCAAAAACGTGCTTTGAAAACAAATCTTTTATAAGATATATATGTTCAAGATTAACGTAATTATATTTGCTCCGCTGCCATAAACTGTACGAATTTGGCTAAAATTGTTTCCAAAAAACCTATTTGGGTCTTGTCAGCCCCTTAAGTGCCATTTCGATGGTTTGAAAACATTATTTAAAATATCTACGTATTAGTGAATATAATAAAAGACGAGAGACGTTATCTTTATTAAAATTAAAATAACTGTTCTGGCTCTGGATGTTTGTCCTTGTGCAATTTATGTTTGTAAACTGCCTCCACGATACAGTTTGTTACGTGGTAGAGCCATGCTGCAGCTACATTTATAGTATAGTTGTAGCACGAATGGGTCGGCTCGACCGGGGAAGGACCACGTTCTCACAGAATACCAGCGCAAAATAACAGCTGAACGCCGCTGTGTTTTGTGTGGTGAGTGTAGAGAACCGGAGACCCTTTTTACTGTAAAAGAGGCAGAAAATCTTAGTGTGGGGTGACGTGTTTTAAAAAAAAAAAAGCTTTTACCACCTCGTATTTTTGTCCAAACACTAATATCTTTATTTCGATAAATCAAAAGGGATTACTTGTAGGCTTTAGACTTGCTGAATTTTTATTATTAAACTATTGAAGGAGGTCATTCATGTCGCAACGGATTTACGGACTATCTCACTAACTTCAGTCGTACTCGTATGCGACAGGTTAGCCAACTTAGAATTTATCTTTAGAATTTCTAGTCAAATTTTTATTTCCCGACGCGAATAAAAATATATGACTATAAAGATAGCAAAGTTAAGAGATGCAATTAGAAGAATTTATTTATTTATTTATTTAACTTTTTGAACCTTATAAAATATATAAGTACAAAAGGCGGACATAATGCTTAAAGCATTCTCTGCCTGTCAACCTTGAGGAGTGAAAAAACATCGAAGGCGGTTATTATAATACATAACAGTAAAGAATAAGAAATATAATGAATTTAGAAATTATAGCATATAAACATAAAGGTAAAAAAAAATACATATACCATACATACATATATATATATATATACACAAATTCACATATAAATACATATATACACACAAATATACATATATACGTAAAAAACATATTATGATGAAATTAGCTATTAACACAGATTAACTAAGATGATGACGCCAACTTAGGAGTTCTTTACGACTTTCAGAAAATGTTCTTTAACATACTTTTTAAATGTTACTTTGTTGGAGCGTTGTCTCAAAGTTTCAGGCAGTGCATTCCAAAGTCGCG